CCAATTATGTCCCTTACTATTATGGACAAATAATTATCTTTGCCCTGTTTGTCCAGAGCACAATGTTGCAGAAGTTTTGATCTTTGTCTACAGGTTCTGAAGTAACATTTAGTGTTGCCCCAATGTTCTTTCTAGAAAGCAAAGAGTTTCCTTTTCATACACCTCCCATGAAGAGCTTTTTGTGCAGCTTCTTCCTAATGATACTCACACACTTTTACATATGTAGTGACAAAAACTATCTGTAGGTCATGTGATGAAACTTTGGGGTACTTAGACTTTTCTTTCAGCAACTTGAATTCTGCTCTCAGCCTGAATTTGTAGGCTAGACTGACCTGAACAAGCTGGCAGTTATTTGAAATCTTCTCCACTTGGAAATTATCTTTTTGAACATATGATTGATGTTCTAATCATTTGAATCTGATTCTCATTTTAGGCAGAGGTAGAAATAAATGTAGATGTGCACGTATTTTTTCCATATGATACATTTGCATTTATATTTATTTAAATTACACAAAGGACTATTAAATGTAAATAGTGCATCACGTGTGTTAGATTTCCTTTATCAATATTGTTGAAACAAAGATAAAATATATGCTGAAATATGTTGCAAAAGTCAAAAATTTCAATGGGGTGCCTTGTTTCATATGACTGAATAGGAGTCATGTATCCACTGTTGAGGTTGGAGGTACTTATTCTATTTGAGATCTGTATATGTTTCAGTTTTAATTAATCTTTACTTTTAACATTGATATTTATATTTTAAATGCCTTTTTATTGCTTATTGTACATAGTCTAGAGTAATATTTTGTGATTAATAATTGCAATAAGGTAGTGCATTTTTTTAAGAGAATACCCAAATACTTACAAAACTTTTAGGAGGTAAAGCCTTTTCTAATAAGGAGACAAAGTAACTGGAATAGCATTTCCTTCAAATAATTTCTGAGAGTGTACTATTTAAGATAAAAGAACTAAGGAAAAACAAATTTGGTCCAGATCTTTCTTTCTACACAACATATGCACAATTTTAACATATGAAAACATGTTAGTTATTTATCCTCTCAGCTCACCATGGCAAAAAGATTATCGTAACCCTGTACTTTGGTGGGAACCTTGGAAAATTTCTGGTCAAAGGCATCTGAGATGTTATGAGCAGGATCAGTAGAGATGATGAGGACACTCTCACGTACTTTGGAGAGCTGTACAGCTAAGCTACAACTGGACCACAAAATAAAAGCAAGAAACAGTTAATACACGCACACAAACTAACAAACAGGACAAGCTTCTAAAATTCAGATCTCCCTGTACTGAAGAACTATATGCAGGACTTTAAAGATTTATCTAAACTATTTAGTAAATAGAAACGTAAACTAACAAAGTGATTACTTCATGCTTTTTTTTAATGAAAAAACTAATCTGAAAGAAAAAGATAATATTGTAATAGATATTACGTTTGTGAACTATTTTATTTAGAACTAAAACAGTTGAGATTTTGAACAAGGCAATTTGCAAAAATAGGATTATATATTAGAAATAATCTGAGACATTTTACTATGCATATAAGTTGAGTTTAAGCTTTTTTTCTGCTACAAAAGTTGTGGATGTTTCTATATAATACAGTGCTATAGTTCAGAACATAAATACTGCAATATTTTGTTCTATTTGTATTTGAGATTAATTTTTTTTTTTTTGCTATTCAGGTAGTCCTCAACTTACAAGTGAGCTCAAAATTTGTTGTTAATAGAGATATTTTTTAAGGTTTTTACAACCTTTCTTGCCACAGTTGTTAAGTGAATCACTGCAGTTGGTAAGTTAGTAATCTAGTTGTTACGTAAACTGACTTTGCTTCTCAGAAGGTCACAAAAGATGATCACATGGTCTTGGGACACAGCAACGGTCATAAGTATAAACCAGTTGCAAGCAACTGAATTTTGATCACATGATCATGGGGATGCTGCAAAGGCCGTTAACTGTGAAAACAGTCATAAGTCACATTTTTCAGTGCCACTGTAACTTTGAACAGTCACTAAATAAGTCGAAGGCTACCTGTATATGTTTTCAATACATTTACCCAGGGCTTTTTTTCTGCCGGAACGCGGCGGAACGGCGTTCCGGCACCTTTTTCCGGGCCGGCCGCACCGGAAATAGCCCCTCCCAAACCGGAAATAGCCCCTCCCAAATTTCACTTGCATCTTTTTTCTAAAGGGGCGGGCCTAGGGTTTGATGGGGGCGTGGCCAGGTTTGAGTTCCGCCACCTTTTCGCTGAGAAAAAAAGCCCTGCATTTACCTACAGTTTGCAAGGTCATAATCTTAACAAGACAATTTGAATTTTACCAATCAGAAAGATAAGAAATGAAAAAAACAAGATTTCAGTATAATATTTAAAAGCGTGTCCATACCTCATATGTATGTTAACCTTGTAAAAAGATTTAAAGATTTATTAGTATCCAAGACTAACTCAGTAAACACACAGTTAGGCATTATGGCACACATTAACAGTCTAAAATTATCAGATCAAAATAGATAGTCTTTGACTTGCAACTATAATTGGACCAAAATTTCTGCCACTAAGCAATACAGTCTCAAGCAAGTCATCATGCAACCAGACCTGATTTTATGATCATTTTTACCCCAATCATTAAGCAAATCACATGATCATTAAATAATTCCTACAGATTGCTAATATGGTGGAATCAACAGCTGAAAGGAAGGAAGTCCCTTTTGGGTAGTTAAGAAACATTCCATTTTGAACTCCACAGATCTGAGGAAGCATCTGAGGTGAGACACTAAGATATATTTCTGGCTTTTCCAGGAGAAAGTAGGCAGTCTGGCATGACTCTTACGTACAATTGAGTCAACAATAAAGAAAGCTAAGCCTCAGAGCCATTTTGGTTGTCTGCACCTGACAGCTAGAAAGGTCACAAATCATGATCACATGACAAGACACTGCAACTGTCATAAATGTGAGGCAGTTGCAAAGTGCCCAAATTATAATCACGTGACTGTGGAAATGGTGTGACGCTCATAACTTCAAGGATGGATTACTGTTTCCGAAGACATCGTAATTTTGAATGAACATTAAATCAAGGACTACCTGTATTGTAATTGTGCAACATCTGTTTATTTACCTTTGATGGCATTTTGACTTCAATAATAAGTTATTATCCTATGGACACTTGTTTTATATTGCAAAATAATCTTACGTTAAGTCAAAACAGTGCTTTGGCAAATTCACTGGAAAACTTTCAGTGTTGAAAGAATGCAACTTTAGTCATTTAAGATAAGAACAGTCCTCTTAAACTCACTTCTAAACATCACATATATCTCCTATCACATCCAGATCTCAAGGTAAACTAATTATGAGAAACAGCACATTTAATAATCGACTATGAGCCATACAGTACATAATTTATGTGCAGCATATAACAATTATACATTATTGCTGTAAAGTTAGACTAATTAAAAACCCACATTTAAATCTAACACTACATGCCGACGTTTCTCTCACAAATTCTGTTTTATGATTCCAAGACAACTTGGAACAGAAATATTCCACAATAGCAAATATACCGCAAATTACACAGCTTGTCCCTGAAAGTACAAAAACTTCTGTTGGTAGAGTTCAACAAATGAATGAAGAACAAGGAGAATGCCAGGTCTTAACTTAATTAATCTTGGATTTTTTTTTAAAAAAATGGGCATTTTCTAAGTTACAATTTGAAAACTTTTATATACATGTCAGAAAATATTTTCAACCTGCTCTCAGAAACTTCCAATCAGGAGCCACTAAACATTCAAGGCCATTGAGGAAGGAAACCCAGAGCTTACAGAGACCTAAGTAAGAACAGTTTAAACCTTGACTTTAAAAAGAAATTTCAAATCCCTAATTTTATTTCTGATTTCAAATGCAGCCAATGCTCTTTTGGGAGGAAATGACGCCAACCCTGCTACCCGGGCATATATTATTCTTAAGCCCCTTGTTTCCTTAACCCTCCAGTTTCTTCAGCCGCTCTCTCGCCTACAAGGATTTCACATTTTCATTTACTGCAAGGTCCCCACACCACTCACGGCCGTCCGGCTTCCTCTGCCAGCTAAATACGAGGCAGCCATTTAAAAAGTGGGATTTCTCAGCAGCCCTTTTTTTCCATCTTGACCTTTCAACAACTCACGGAAGGCAGGAGACGACCACCACCCTCCGCGTAAAAGCGAAAAGCGGCGACCGCCATCCTACGCCTCGTGACTCACCTGCAAGTCGTTTTGCCCACACCGCCCTTCCCGCCGACGAAAATCCACTTCAGGCTCCGCTGCTCGATAATGTTGCTCAGCGTCGGCTCAAGTGGCTCCACATCGGGCGCGTCCTCGAATTCGTCCGCTTCGGCCGACAGCCCAGACGCCACCGCTGCCATCTTGGAACGAAGTCACGTGACAAGACGCCAGGCTACACCATTTTAAAGCGAGGCTCTGATTTGAACAACCGGCGCATCAACATTTACGCAGGAGAGAAACGGCGCCCCGCTCCCTCCTGTGGCCTCCTCTTGAACTTAATCCTTAACCCCGTCATCTCTAATCGCTGGCGTCATAAACAGATCTGACGCCAGAACAAACAACACCCCTACCTGAACGGCTGGTATATTCCGATCTAACGTTTTACCAGATTGGTTGCTAGGTTCTTTTCCCGATTGGCCTCAGCTTAGCGGAAGAAGACTCAAATACCTACCTCTTCTTTTCTCCGATTGGCAAAAATCGCTTCGTCTTAATCGGTGATGCAAAAGCCTGTTTTGATTGGTCAGGGGAGCTGTCAATTCTTGGCCATCGGAGCGCCTAAGACCCCAAGTCCGCAAAATTTTCCCTTTGAGGTGCGCGGCCAACCTAACAAACGGAGGCTTTCCCGCCATGCTTTGCGGCAGACTGGCTTCGTAATCGTTTCCCGACGTTCTCCGGGCCGCGCAGGCTGGGCAAGGGAGCGAGTCGAGAGAGAGAGAGAGAGAGAGAGAGAGAGAGAGATGGCCGGGGTGCCAGGCGGGGAAGGCCCGGCTTCCGAGGCGGCCGGATCGGGCGGCGTGAACGTGTTCGCCAACGACGGTTCCTTTCTGGAGCTGTTCAAGCGGCGCATGGAGGAAGCCGCTGGGTCGGGAGGAAAGAGCGGATCAGAAACGGCGGTCGCCGGGGCCGAGAAACAGAAAGAGATCGAACCGCGGCCAGAGCCGCCCGGGGACCCAGAGCCACCGGGGAAGAAGCGGAGCGGGAGCGCCCTCAGCTTCGTAAGGGATCTGGGCACTGACCTTTTTCTCTCTCCTTCCCCTTGTTTCTTCTTCCTCCCTTTTTCCTGGGCCTTCTTCCAGAAGGACCGAGGCGCAGCGCCCCTTTTGTCAGTTTTCCTTCTCTCAACAATAGGAGGTCTTTAATAAATAGCTTCACAGGCAGTCATTCTCCAGGTGCCGCATCTTAGCCGCCTCTCTGTACGCTTCTCTTTATCCCTCCCCCCCCCGGTACTTGCATCCCTGCTCCCCCTATAAAAGAGATTACTTTTTACTAAAGCAATATGATGTTAGCAGGAGCAATGTTACATTGTCTTCTTCCTTCTGAACTCTTTGCTCCCTTTCCTCCTCCCTCCCCGTTTTATTTTATTTATTTATTTTATTTATTTTATTAAATTTATATCCCGCCCTTCTCCTTGCGGACTCAGGGCGGTTTTGAAAGGCATCATATTGGACCCCATTTTTTCTAAGCATGTCTGGGGTCCCTGTAGCTATTTAGTACATGTCTCCCAGTTCCTCACTATATCAGTTTCCCCCCCCCCAAAAAAAAATACGAATAGAAAATGAACTTATCCCACAGTTGTTCACAGGACTGTGATATGTTTGACACCATTCGTTCCTGGGTAGGTGTATGGTTTGTGGGCTTCATAATATTGGCTGAATAATTACTCTATGCCAGGGGGGTCCCCAACCCCTGGTCCGTGGACCGGTACTGGTCCGCGACATGCCAGAAACCGGTCCGCGCAAACCAGGGAAGCTGCATGTGCGGGATGCAAGCAGCTTGCAAATCTACACCCCCTCCGGTCCGTGGAAAAACCTCTCTCCGTGGAACCGGTCCCTGGTGCCCAAAAGGTTGGGGACCTCTGCTCTGTGCCATAACCCTAATCTTGATTTGATAAGTCTCTGGGAACAGATGTCCCGACTGAGTTTTCCTTTTGTGAACAGGAAGCTCCCATTCTTGACATGCATATAATGCAGATACTTTTTAAAAATGGAAGCAATAGAGATGGAAACACTTTGATCTGCTAGTGCAGTGTTTCTCAACCTTGACAATTTTAAGGCATGTGGACTTCAACTCCCAGAATTCCACAGCCAGCAATGCTGGCTGTGGAATTCTGGGAGTTGAAGTCCACATGCCTTAAAATTGTCAAGGTTGAGAAACACTGCTAGTGCATAATACAATATGCTTTGCTTTTAGTTGTCTTTTGGAAAACTTCATTTTAGGCTGATTCAGCCTTTTATTAAGGCACAAGTAAATTAAGTGGAATGCATTAAAACTCTATAAAAATGTTTTTGAAATGAAATTGCTTCCTGCTCTCCTACACATTTGTTGCTAGTGAGTAGTAACAAATGTTTCTTAGCACATTGGGTTTTTTTTGTATTCACGGTTTTAAAGTCATCAGTGTGTCTCTTGGGACCCAAATGAAATCTTTTTGTTTTTGTTAATGTGATACAATAAGTCTGAAATATACTGAATTATTTTTATTTGCATTGGCTGGGGAATATTGCAAGTATGACTTCATCCATCCAACATCAAGCATTAATTATAAATCTGAACATGAGGAATAAAGTCTGTTCTGCATTACAATGAAATATGATAATCCTGGCCATATTTATTGACCTGTAATTCTAATTGAGTTCAATGGAATTTACTCCTAGTTATCTGTAGGCATTGTAGCCTAAACATGACAAATAAATATGTTTTATTTCCAGTCTTTAAAATGTTGGGTTGAAGTTTTTAAGTATAAACTGTTTTCCAACATGTATGTTTCCATCACCATATATAAAACAATTTGTACTTGCAATGCATGTGGCATTGCTCCAAAAACGGACTGGGGAGGCAGTGCTGTACCATCTAAAAGTGATCATTGGAATCCCTGTTTTTGTTTGTTGCTAACTGAAATTGACATTTTCTATCTTAAACTATCCTCTTCAACTGAAGATCAAAAATTCTGTTTTTCAGCATAAAAACTGAATCACATACATGCTTATATGGTATTGGAAATACCATTTTGAAATGTATGCAGCAGGCCTTTGCAGTTGTATCTAAGATTATATTAGCATACACACTTCCCAAGACCATAAAAATAATTATTTATTTTGAATTAATGTTGTATTGATTCTGCTAACTTTATTGCTTTCGTGATTTTGAGGAAATAAAAGCTCTTCACATAATGTATTCCAGATTGTTATATTGAAGGGGAAATAAAAGTAAAAATAGAATGGTGTTCCTATTTCCCACCAGGCAGCAAACCTGAAAAGAAATTGGAATACTTCCATTTCTTGTTGCTTGTTAATGTCTTTTAATGTTTGGGCTTAACTGTACAGATGTATTGGTGAACACTGCTAAGGTGCCCTTTTACCCTCCTAGCACAGCGGTGTAGGTAACGCTCGGCAGCTCTGTACAGACTGACAGGTGTGATGGCGAGCTAAGATGATCTAATTGAAGGACTCCCTATACCGTTATATAGTGGGCAACATTCCCCTTGCAGCTCCCAGGCTCGTATAACGGTTGCAGTCTTCTATCCCTTCACCCAGGTGGGCAAGCGGAGAGGGGGCAGCAAGCTAGCCCTGAAGACAGGAGTGGTAGCCAAGAAACAAAAGACAGAGGAGGAGGTAAGCTGGGATGCATCAGGAATAATAAATTGAGAGAAGAGGGGCAGCATGGAGCTTCCTAAAAGTTTCAATGAAGAAAGTAGCACTGTGGTCTCCATTTCAGCATTCTAGAAAATGAAGCCAAGTTCTGCCTTCATGCTACCCTAGTTTAAAATTGACGGCTGGGTGTGTCCTTGTGGGTTTGGGAAAATAGTGACTTCTTTCTTGTTCATTTGTAATAAGAGTGTTTCCGATTCATTTCCTAAATCTGTTTTAAGTGAAGGTTTTGTGCCTATTTTTGGTGTATAAAATGAATTTAGCTCCAACAAGATCAGAACAGCAATGTATATATCCTGTTGTTCTAACTGCACCTTGGGTAGCAAATTAGAATGAAACAGGGTAATTGAAAATCCATGCAGTAAATATTGTGGTTGACTTCGCCAGTAAAATTACAATCTCTGTGTTTCAATTGAATGGCTTCCCTAGATTTATACGTAGGCTGATGTTCATGAGAACTGGTACCCTAAGAATGTTTTTAAGTTCAATTGTTTAAATGTGTATTATTCCATAACTGGTTCCCTTTTTTTCTGTTATAGGTTTTGACAAATAAAGGAGATGCATGGGCGAAATATATGGCTGAAGTGAAAAAGTACAAAGCCCACCAGTGCAGTGATGATGATAAAACCCGGCCTTTAGTGAAATAACTTTTATCTCCAGCCTGGACTGTCTGTGATGTACATAATTATTTAAAATATCAAAGGATTAGTGCTGTCCCACAAGACTGAATGCTGCCATGGCAGCAGGAGACTTGCCATACTTTTATATTTGAAAATTTAGAGCCTCCTTCACTGATTCATTTATTGTTTTCCCCTTCTTCTGAGAACTAAGAACTTTGACTTAATTGCCAGATTTTAATTCGTAACACCCTGTCTCTAAATAGTGGAATTGGTCTGACATTTCTTTCCCAGAATCATCAGGCAAAAACATACCATTGCTGATAAACTTTCAGCATTGAGTCTTTGCTTAACATTAACACCTGAACTTTCTACTATAGGACATGCTAAGAAGTTCTCTTTATCAAATTCAGTACCTCTTACTGCTGAAGATAAATTTAAAATGTGGTTGCAAATAGTCAATCTGTACTGCAGACTGTAATAATTCCAGAGCTTGAAGTAATCCCTCTCTGTTCACTATGAAAGACAAATGAATCTGGATCTCGATTCACTTAATGTCTCACAGTTCTGTAGCTGCATTTTTGCCCGTGTTGTTCATTCCCTACTCCAATTTCACTGCATATTGCAGTGAATTATGGAGTTTTGTATTTAATTCCAGCTGCTGCTTAAGCTTTTTCCTAGCCTTTTCCTATGCATGCTCCAATCTAATTCTGGGGGGGATATCCTGTGCCTGTTTACTATCTAAGAAGCAAAACACTTGGTCTGTTTTTGTACCAAGTATTACATATTTGAGAAAATCATTAAAATTACCATAGGTGCTCTCTGCAATGAATTTAATTTTAGATACTATAATTTTAACTTTCGACTGCTCCTGTGCCCCCACTCCTAGGTGTTATGAGCAGAGGTCCTTGGCTTTGAAAGAAAGAACTTGGGTCTATAGCCATTGTATTGATAATGGTTTGTTGCATGGATGGGACCTATGCTCTTTCATCACTTGTTTACTTATGCTGAGTTTGATTTCTTATATTTCCATAAAATACTGTTAAAATGGAAAGCACCTAATAAGACACTGAAACTGGGCATGACAATTTGATATAAAGGCTTATGGTACATTCCCAGCAATCAATTTCAAGTCAGGAAATACTAAGGAGATCTTCTGTTTTCTGGCTGGCATAGAAAAGTTTTTTTTGTTGTGCTGGAATTGGGTTTCACTTCTAAATGTTATCCAGTTTGTGTCATTTCCTTTTAACAGATTGGGCTGATTTTTGAGCTGCACTATTAATGCGATATTCACAAAGATGGATTTGTACTCTGGAGAAAAACAAACTGAGGTTGATCTCACTGTTTGAGTCTATTTTTTTCTTCAATCAACACTGTTCATCACTGGACCAGATCTATTAAATAAGTTTCTGCCACGAAAAGGCCATTGGTTTCCAGTATATCTTGGGCCTTTGTGTAATGCATCTGAAGAACAATGCTTTCTTTAGATTGGGGTTAAGCATTTTTGCTGGAATTTCACATAAAACATCTGAGTGTTCTTTAGTGTAACTAAGAATTCTCATTACATAACAGGTTTTTCATGCACATGCACAATGAGCATGTAGGAGCTGCTTCTGAATATGGTAAGGGAGTGGTTAGACGAAAGAAAAATTCTGTTTTTGCCTCTCATAATATCATGAGAGATTGCTGTTAAAACATCAGAAAAAAATAAAGGTTTGGTATTTTATTTCCAGTCTCTTGTAAAGTGATGGCAATTTTCTTCTTTGTTATACGCTTGATCAGGCTTTCTACTTTATTGCTTTTTAACTTCCACAGCCCAGATTAGAGTACTAATAATCATCCTTAATACAGCAATAGCTTTTTAAATAATAGAATTTTGTTGTGGATATTTATTGATATATGTTTCCCATATATATTTTTTCTGGATGGCATTATTTATACATTATACAGTCATTAAAACTGTTTATTGCAGGTATAACCATAGCATCCAGATTTCCCTTTGCTTATGGGGTAATAACTCTTTAAATACAAGTGATAGTGATCAATAGTTATCAGAAGATTGAAAGATAAATGAAGAGTTGTCTGCACTTAAATTAGAATTATTTTCCATGAATATGCATGGTAAAGTTAAAAGAAAAATGGATTGATTTTCTTATTGTGATTGTGCAGAACATCCATAAAGTAGTTTTTCTAAATTGTCGTGGTTTGCACATGCATAGCAACTACTACTAGGTTCATGCACTGTGCTAAGCCCAAATGAGACAATCCATGTTAAAGCTTACCACATTGCATAAACATAGCTATAATTACATAATAGAAAAAATGCACTTCTGTCTATAAACCAGTGAAATGTAGTTTGCTTTCAGTTACAATGAAAAAAACAATGCATTTGCCCTTTTCTGAGTTATATTTTGAAAAAAATAAGCAGTTAACGGAGCAAGTAAAAAGCACAGTAAGCGGAACATGAAAACAGTTCCTTTCACAGTACACAAGCAATTGCTCATATTTTCCAAACGTATGTTGACTATTACATGTACTTTGTATTTTGAAATGTTATATCTTTTACTAAATAATGATTACTGCTATTCATAAATGAGTTCATTTCTACTGCCCAAGGTATTTTCATATCAAAGTTACAATTTTGGGTCATATTATTAGGCTTAATAAGTCATATTAGCCACATGGAATTGAAAGTGCCTCTGTTCTGTGGATTTTATAAATTAAATAGAGCAATTTCCTTGCCAAGTGATTCTTTGGGATATAAAATAGAAGTTGTAATTGATACTTCTCCTTAAGTGATAGTCCCTTATTGCAGGCACCCATCTTCCTGTTCTTCTATTTTTTCTCCTTTTTCTTTTTGATTTTCCAAACCAGTAAGGAAAAGGGGCTTTAAATATCCTTACATGCAACACTGGAGATATAATCTAATGTCTTAAAAGTGGCTATGCCACTTTTTAAGTCATTTACCGTATATATTGCCTGCTCCAATGTTCTAAGTGGCTTCAGAGAATTCATAGATGCAGTGAAATGTTGGGCACAGTATTGTACCCTATAGGAATTTGCTTGGCCTGAAAGATATGCCATGTTGTTTTCCAATTTCTTCAGTATTATGATTTATTAAATACAGATTTTGGTGGTCTGTATGAAGCAATCCTAGTATCTCTAAACAGCAGTGAGACAATAGGCAGCAGAACATGCTGGCTAGATTATACTAGTAACTGAAATAGTGTGTTCCATCTTTACTTCTGCCACTTTTTTGTGGTGAACTTGAAAATGAAGATACAGGTGATACCAAGGAATGAGATAACATGGGGCAAGGGCTTTTAGACAGAAATGTACTTTAAAAGAGGGGTCTCCAACCCCCTATCCCACAGATTGCTACTAGTTCATGGCCCTTTGGCAACTGGACCACGAAACCAGACAGGTTGGAGATCGTTGCTTTAAAATATGGATTCTATTCACTTCAATCATAGAAATGGTATCATGGGCAAGGAAAACCTTACCTCTTCTCCCTCT